GATAGACACGCATACAACGGTACAACGGGAATGCGATTCATTCGTGATTGCACAAATCTCGTGACTAAAAAAAATATTTAATACATTATGCAAACTATTATAGATAATTAAAGAACATTTTATTCGAACTCTAAACCGTTTGTTTGTTTTATTTCCATGCAGAATATATGAAATCAGAATGATCACTTGAAAATTTAAATAAGATTCAGTCGCCATATTTATGGAGTCCTAGTTTCTTATAACTTTAAAAGTGATAACATTTATTTTGTGGCAATTGTTTTGAAAACATTGAATGCACTGCATTGTTTTTATGTATACTGTTTATTAAACCATATATTTATGAAAAATATACACCGTTGAAACTCAACAATAGCCGAATGATTTTTGAACGTTCCTACGTTGCCGAGTGAAATCTTATCAATGATCATTCTTATTTTATATATTCTGTGATTACATCTTTGCAGCATTTCAATGCATTGATCTTTGATGTATTAATATATCTGATAGTAATAATATATTTATGGTTAGTAAGGGAAAGGATAGACGAAGTTTTTTAACTTAACACAAGGATCCTCATACAGTCCAATTAATTTAGGTTGAAATTTGTTTTTCACTAAGAGAATAATAATATTGTATATATAGTAATATAAAAATTAGTCGACCAATTTTTTAAAAACTTTCATTGTCATATACGTTTTCAAGCTGACATTTTTATACGTAGTTATTTTTTGATTGAGATTTGCAAACAATCTTGAATGTAACGAGACATAACCCCTTAGTACAATTTATATTTTAAATAATATGAAAACAATTTCAAACAAAAAACATCCCACATGAAAAATACGTGTTTTATATTTTACACTCAGTGTGACCTATTTCAGGTGCACCATAATCACTAAGGAGAATTTTCGTCGTGCAGCGCTAAATTTAGGGATATTTTGCTACATTTAACACTGTTAATCCATTAAAATGTTCTTGACCTACTTTAAATCTCATTTATTTCTTCAAACGTCTGAATGAAGAAAAAGTTTTCTCGGCACTGACTGTTGTTACTGAAATGGTAACAACAATTTGTAATAATACAATTTTTTTTTATACTGTTGACATTTAATGCACTAACATTTTAATTATTAAGAATTTTAAAGACAAAACGTTTGAGGACGAAGACTGAGCATCTTATATCAACATCTCGTTTGTAGTATCAGTGATTACGAAAGAACGCGTGTAACGGTTTTTTCCACGCCATTGTAATTGTAGTACAACCATGTGAAAAAAATGTGTGCTGTTGTTCACGCGCATATTTTCACGCCATAGAGCAAAAATTCGTAATTCAAGCTAGTAGTACTGCGACAGATGAAAACGAGATGGCTTCACGTTCCAACTCAATCCCCTTCCTTTGAATATAATTATCCTCTACACAGAATATAACGTAATTAAAATAATCCTAACTGCTATGAATAGTTTAATTCTAACTGCCACGGTTTCAATCTTATTAATTTGTTTTAATATTTATCATTTCGATTAATTATTTTATATATTAACTAAAAAATCACCTGTCTCTATGTGAATATATTAATTAATTTGAACGAATAAAATCAATAACTACACTGCCTTACACCAGATGTACTTGTGGTCGGACGTTGTACATGTATGTTGTACATATATATTGTACATTGTATCATTTTAGCTTTCTGATTGGTCATTTAGTTTTGCCGCGCTTTTTAAAAACTGTTACCTATTACCTTGTTATTTAGTATTATGTGTTATTTAATATTATCCAATTGCAATGCCTATTTATTATTTATGATACTATTATAAAGTATGAATATAAACACTCTTTAAAAGGGTTTTTACTTATTATTTTTTGTAGCTAGATTTTTAAATAAAATATTATAAGTCAAAAAGTATCTTAAAATGTTTAAATTAATGGAATTTGATAATAATTCCTTTCGTTCTAATATGTTTTACGAACAAGATATTTGTAACTGGATTAGTATTCATGGTAAAAATACTAATACAAGCTGGTGTGTGAAAACATATTAGAACGAAATGAATTATCATCGAATTCCACTAATTTAAACATTTTAAGAAATTTTTCGACTTATAATATTTTACTTAAAAAGCTACCTACCAAAAGTAAAAAGTAAAAACCCTTTTAAAGATCATTTATATTCACACTTTATAAAAAAAAAAAAAAATAGTAAATATGCATTGCAATGTGATAATATTAAATAACACATAATACCAAATAACAGTTTTTAAAAAATGTGGCAAAATCAAACGACCAATCAGAAAGCTAAAATGATAACCGGAACCGAGACTGACCCCAAATGCTAATATGCATCCGGGCAGCCTACTCGGCTATTAAGTGTGCGCGACAATATAACACGTAAACTTGTAAACTATTATAACGGTCGATTGACAAATATCTCGGAAGACTAGAATCCGTATTACTTGTTCTACACAAGGTCATGGAATTTTAATGCAAGATGAAATATTCATGCACTCGACATCGTCCTTACCGACTTACAGACGTCCTTTCAGATTATCACGTGATAATCTGTCGCAAACTACGACCGATGATCCTTCGATGTGTGAAATCACTCGTGATGAAACCGAAAAATGACGTGACCACAGAATTACACAGGACCCTGCTATCTAAACATAGCGGACAGGGTGAAACAAAAACTTACGATACTGCATTATAATATACGTCTAATTACTTTCTGGTGTTGTTCGAAAACGCCCCGGGACATGCGCGTGTACGTGAAATGTGTTTTCGACGGACAGTAATACATCGATAATTGAATGGTGCCGTCGATACAGTCTCGGCGGGAACGAGGGCCGTGTAAGGGATAGGGGTGGACGTGTGTTTTTATTAGGACGTGATATAGATCGCGTGACAATTTGACCGCGTGTCAGCGCGATTGACCATTACTGACAATAATCTTAATCACACAACCGTAGGAGACAGGGAGTAGAGGGAAGGGAGTGGCTTGTCATCTACGTGATGGTTAAATTGTATACTATTATTGTTGCGATAAAATATTATAAAGTACATATAAAATATATTATTTTATACTTCTCAGCAGTTTGCTTAGTTTTATACTCACCATTTATATACCAACGAACGCAAACAAATATAATAGTAGTAGTTGTAGTAGTAGTAGTAGTAGTAACAATAATAAAAGTAACAATAATAATAATAATAATAAGAATTATCGATAGCATGTTATAGTATAATAATATTTTCTCGGTAACAACCAAATTTAAATCAACCCTATTCTTTTATTTATTTTATTATTTGCTTGACGTATATATTTAAAGATATACGTTGTTTTAATAACTGATTATTTTTATTACTCAATTGTGCATTTATTTGAACACAAAAAAAATGTGGAACATGCGCAGATTTGATATATTTAATACTAAGCTTCAATAATTTCCATTGACATAACTATTTGGTTTTTAAGCAACTTCATGTTTACTACTACTGAATTTATATTCATATTGTCATATGAAGTTTTAATTTACGTTTATGTAACCAGATACAAGTCTTTAACATACATTTAGAATCGATATCGTCGAATCTTAAAGTCAGATAAAATCAATAAATAACATAATTCAATAAAGAAAAACTTAATTATGAATTTCTAATGACGTACTCCATGGTCGGGAAAATATAAGTCATTCAAAAAAATTAACTCGATTTAGACTTATGTAATTATAACACTACGTAGGTGTTGTTTTATAAAATACGCCAAACAATTTACATTCATATATGAAATTTGAACATTTCATAATTTTATAAACCCACATAAGATATTTACTATTCTAAAAAAGCGTGACCTAATATTTAGCATGATTTCTATAATTTATTTCAGATAATAAATGTTTCTCTCTAAGACCATATAGAACTATTATATTTTGTATGTAATATACATGCATTTTTTTTAATTCATATTAAATATTGAATGTAATATAAGACCTACTAATTAAATTTATTACTTTCGTTTATTTCCCCACTAAAACCCTAAAAACCCTTAAACTCCTCTCTTAATACATTGAATTTAATTTAGTTTGACAATTTCAATTTTCATCTTTATACCATGATGACTTAAAATATGTACTTACAATATATATAAATCGTAAATTTGAATAAATCATATAAACTGCACAAAACTGGTCGTATTAAATGATTAATTAAATTTTAAATTTGTATATTTTTATAATGTATTTTTTTTTTCTTATACGATTTAATTGAAAACTAGAAGTTACTCAATTTCCGGTAACATAATTTCGGAGTATAACAAGTTATGTATTTAAATATACATATGGTATACTTTCTTATAAAAATCTCAAATCCATTGGATATTTATATTAATGACTATTGTTTTCACACGATATATTTTAACGCGTAGCTTAAAGTTATTTTCGGAAGTAAAGATACAACTACATTAAAAATAATTCCTTCGTTGTCGGTGTTCCGCTATAAGAGCCTAAAAATAAGTGATTGTTTAATTTGCTCCCTTCCATTGTACATTTAAACGGAATTTACTAAAATGTGCAGCCTAGTGGAAATTCGAAAATACAAATATAATTAATTTAAGCAAATATATTGTTTTCGTTTAATTAAATCGTGTAAATGGTTCGAGATGAGCCGTAGTGAAGTATTATGATTTTCTTGTAGATTAAGGGCCAAAACTCAATTATCTTATGATATTGAAAAATAAAAACTAGTGGTACACAATAGCGAGTAGCCTCTCAAATGTACTTTAACGTTAACCGTTCGAATCGGGCCCGTGGTGACCCTAACGTTACCCCGTGCGAAACGAAACGTTACACGGTCGACGTTGAGCGAACGGATCGAGTGCGACTCCTTGTAAGTTTTTCGCCGTCACGCGCGGCCCCGAGTTAGTCTACTACCTTCCCCCCCCCACCCCACGTATCGCGTTCGAGTCGCGTTCAATAATGGTTTTTGTTTTTTTCCGCCGTCGCAGGGCACGCGATAACCACTGAGCCGACGGGACCGAGGGACACCGGGTAGCGGAGGACGAGGACGACGATTGCGACGGTGATCGGCCGGTGGAGAGGAACGCCCGCGGCCGCAGGACCGTCGACACGTGGTGACCGCTATGCCGACGGACGGCGTTTTCCAGCGCGGCGGCACACCGCGCTCGCCCAGCGGCACGTGATCGCCGCGCCCGGTTACCGGTAGGCCGGCATGGTGGTGGACCAGCGGCCGGCCACGTTCGAGTACCGTCCGCATCGCAGCGCGCCCGCACCGCCGCCCCGGCAAACATGGAACACCGTGCCGGTGGCGACATCACCACGTACAACCACACGCCCGGGCCCGTTGTCGCGCTCGATCCCCGCGACTCGCTGTACCGGTTGAGCGCCGCCATGGACAACGGCACCGACCCCACGGTCCAACAGGTATGTGTTTACAACCACCCTCCCCATTACGCACCGTACGGTGTCCTGCCGCCCGACAACCCTCTCACCGGCGGGGCATGTTTTCTTACCCGACGCCCCGTGCGATCGTCCGCAAAAAAACCGTTCCCGTTAAGCTCTCGTCTCGTGAACATTACGCTCACCGCTCGTGTCTCGATGGTGATCCGCACCGAACAATGTTTTGAGCTGCCTTAGTAATCGACCGAACATGACGGACAGTTTATCTTAAAACCATGTTCACGGTTCTTTTTTTGACTGGGTCGCAGATAGTGGAAATACGTGTATGTATGTATATGCAGTGGCGTAGAAAGACTGGCTAGCGCCCCTGTCAAACATGGAAAAAGTTACATTTCTAACCAATTCAAAATTTATGTCATGATATTTTTTTTAACCTTTAATTTTACTAATATTTTTAAAGAACAATTTATACTTATAAGTTATTATTATAGTGTTAATTTTAAACTTAGAAAATTTGTTTTTCTCACTTGATGACTGGCAAATTCATCGATAATATCTTCATATAAAATTTTTTATTTAAATATCCTATTTTTATAATTTCATCGTTAAATTCACACGTAGTGTGTAAAAATAGAAAAAAATCTACGTATTTCAAAAAATATAATGGAAAAATTTCGAGCATCGCAGACACCAGAAGACGCTGGATACCACAGAGGTTTGCTATGGCTATTGATCACTGTGTGGTTATTATAAATCGATCATATATTGTGATAATAAATCAATGATAAACGATAACCTAATTAATAAAACATAATTAATTTTAATAAATTATATAAAATATTATTTATAATTGTATACATATACAAGTACAGTCCCATATAAATTATTTAATAGCATATCTTAATGACAATCGAATTTCAATAATTACTTATCTTACGGTAAAAATCTTTTCCTTTGGTCACACATTATTTCAATGATATTGCCCGTGGAAATTTATTTATATCGGCTATGCTGAATACCACTCGAGACGATGACCCTCTACAAAAACGGTGTTCACAATATTCGGTTCTCATCATCAATCAGTCGCCACCCCCGCCCCGATCTTTGAGTAGTGACACTCGTCGGGTCACGGCTTTCGAAATCGCCATTGTAGTAATCAAATTGCAACCATACGTGTGACTTTTGAAGGGGTGTGAAAGGTTATCACTTATTAACCTATATGACATAAAATATGCTGCGACTTGTATATGGTATAATTATTTTGTAATTGTCGTGTATAATATTTAGTTAGCACAGTGTCCACACGTGTTAGACGTCCTACCTTTACGTGATGACATTTTAAGTTAACAATATATTCGCAGTATGAATTGAAATCGGTATTATACATGTTGTTCCCGTTTGTATAATAGTTAAGTAGTTGACTGACGGCGACTATATCGCGAGTGTTTTTATTCGTAAGAAGTATAACATGTTTAGATATATATCTTTGGATAAATATAAATAAAAACCGTTCCGAGAGACAGATTTTGTCTTTGTGAAAAAAATAAAAGTAAAATGTACAGTAAATACCATTAGGTTCTTTAAATTATCTAAGTATATATATATATATATATATATATATATATATATATATATATATACATTTATTTTTACTTTACCATACTCTTGTATCATCACTGTAAATATATATTTTAACTTTTGAGATGTCATCTTAATATCCACGATGACGAATAAATTTCGAAATTTGTTCTTACTTTGATCTTTTTCCAGAGATGATCTTTGCATATTAAAAACCAATAAGAAATATTATACATTTTGCATTAGCGAAAAAAATATGTATACATATATTACATAAATACATTAAATGTGTTCTCATACGTTGCAAACTTTTTCAAAAACCACTCGAAGAACTGTCCGAAACAGCCTTATGTCTCGTTTTGAACGTATAAAATTATTCAGCATTACAATTGAGTGTAGTTTTTCAATTATAATATTTTAATGTAAATGTTGCGCTTTTAGTTGAAAAACAAAATATATTATCTTTCCGCACACATTATATTATTATTATTATTATTATAATGAGCAAATATGCAATACGAATGCGTTGAAAAGTAATAAAGAAAAGGCAACGCAGCTAAAATATTACGAGCGCAGTTCCACACTCGTAGAATAATTTTGGATTCATATAATTTTGTATTTTAAATTTATTTTTGGCCATTAAACCGTGGAATGCTTGTGATAGTTTTATGATACCGAGTATGAACATTACCGATCGACTTCGTTTTTACTTTCGTGGGACTTTAAACGTACATAGGTGAAAAGTGTTTATTTGACGGTAATGATAATCCGTTTATCAAACTGATTTTATAATGTGAGAAAAAAAAATATAGATCATAAAAACGACATTTTACAGTAAAACTGGAACTTTTAAATGATTTTAAAAAGCAATTTACGATATTACGATATCCTCGTAACTATAAAAGCGATGCACGCAAAATCAACGTCGTTAAAATCGCTGACAGGTTAGGTCGCTGATCGTTCAATTACCGTGAAATAAATGCAAGTCGGTGTATTTACATATTAATATTACGCTGTTTTCGGCGTCGCAAATAAATTTACGTCCGTTCCGATGGTAGAACGGCGTTTTTGACGTCACCGTGCGGAACTAACCCGTTTGACGTCTCCTTTGAATTCCCATTTCTTTCGTACGTCTCGAGGACCATGACAATCGCAACGATAACGTGCGACCCCGGAGGATCTCGTGCGCATCGGTCCTCTATCGGTTTGGTCTCCCGAATCTTTGAATCCGACGCACGACTTCCGTGACCCACGATCCGGGGGCGGTAAGTCTGACAAACGCAGCGACGTTATAAACTTCACCCTCGTCCCTTTTATCTTCCCGATCGCGTTCGACCCGCGTATAAATGACCCCGTGGCGTTTAGTGACTCTTTCCCCCGAAACGCCACCCCCGCCCGATCTGACCTCGATCGCACCCACGTGTTTGCCCCTATGACGTTCGACCCCTATCCGGTCAAGATCTTCCGAAGGTGACAACGGCATTTAATTCACGCACAAATTCGTGAGCTCGTACTTCCGTAGTTACCACGCGATCGCAGTGATAACCGTTTTGGTTACGGGGATCCGGTAAAGTACAAGGAATCGGATTGGTTATCCATTGATCTATCGACCACCGCAACCCCAGATTTTCCGCAACGAGTGACGTTTAGTCAAACGAATATTCGTCTACCGCGTTTACCGACAGCAACGGTGTACACGCGATAGATCGCAATTCCGTTTTATTGTCCGGTGAATTACGCGTTGTACACCGGTGATTTCGCGTAAAAACATTGAAAACCATAATCCCAAATGACAGTAATCGAAAATAACTGAATGGTTCATTTCGATCGACAGTGTTCGAAAGGCCACGGGGAAAAACGATAACGGTCAGTGTTACGAAACCATTCGGTATTTCGGTTTTAAGATTTCACAACTCAAAACAAAAAAAAACAACGAGATATAGCGGGAAATAGTTAAAAAAAAAAAAATGTATCGCGATCGTAGAACTAGTTTTTGATAAAACAAAAAAAAAAAAAAATGAAAAATAATGACAATCAAATTTACTTTTAATAACACATCAGATATTCGTTCGACTCTTATCGTTTTGCCCCTCGGCCCTTGGTCGCAAGCGTCCGAAACCCCTTTACCCCCGTTTCCCTGGCCCTTGTCCCTCAGAGGGATACGGACAAATTTACTAAAATGTCATACACGTACGTGTGTGTGTGTGTGACGTGCTTGCAGGTGACCGGCGACATGGACTGGTCGGACTACGTGTCGGTGGCCCTGAAAACGTCGATCATGGCCATCATCATACTGACGTCGATCGGCGGCAACCTGTTGGTGATCGTGGCGGTGGCCCGGCACCCACGGCTCCGGGTGATTACCAACTACTTCGTGGTGTCACTGGCGTTCGCCGACATGTTGGTGGCCATCGTGGCCATGACGTTCAACGCGAGCAAGCTGATCAGCGGCAAATGGATGTTTGGGTACTTCATGTGCGACGTGTGGAACTCCAGCGACGTGTACTTCTCTAGCGCGTCCATACTGCACCTGTGTTGCATCAGCGTGGACCGGTACTATGCGATCGTTAAGCCGCTCAAGTACCCGGTGCTGGTCACCAAGCGGCTGGTCGCGGTACTGCTGCTAGTCACATGGGTCGCGCCCGGCGTCATAGCGTTCGTGCCCATTTTCTACGGCTGGTACACCACGGACGAGTACCTGGCCTACAGGGCGGCGCACCCTGATGACTGCGACTGGGTGGTGAGTTGTGTTATCGTTTCTTTTTCGTTTTTCGTCCCTTCCACGTGTTCCCGCACGTGCCCCAACCCGCCCAGGGTGACTGCGAGTCCCGTGTATTTTTTTACATTTTTTTTGGGACCAACGTTTTCTTTCCCGTTCCATCGGACCTGGGAACATCTGTGTTAATGCCATAAAATATATTTCAAATCGCTTTTAAATTAAAACTTCATTCATTACTATTACTATACTTACGTTTGCATAAAAAACGATAATTTTCCCAGTGATTCGATTTTAGTTATTTTTTTTTTTTAGTTTATTCCATTCCTAATTCATTATTATTATTATTCATTTATATTATTTTTCAACCTTCCTTATGTATCCGAATCCGTAACGCTACGTACAAGCATCGCTTTGAATATTTTTTTTTTTTTAAATCTTAAGCCTCTTTGGATTACTGCGTATTCTGGATTAGCGTGTGTTCGGATTAACATGAACCTACTATATCATTAATGCGATCCGGACGAAATTAAATTGAACATTTTCGCTTATTCTGCAATGTTATGGTTTAAACCCTAACCCCAGTGTCCACCACCGCTTCCACTTCCAAATCCATATAATATTTACGTCCTTATCATTTATAGTGTCGTTTTATAGATACTGTTTAAGATTATTGAAGAAAATACAATTTTCATCTATTTAACGATGCATTTATTAACGTATTTTCGTTTGCATATTGATGGCAATTCGTTCGATGAGAAAATTTCCCGGAAAACGATATCGTATATAAATGATATACGCGTCTGAGTAATCTTTAAAGTTAACCCGTTAAGTTTTCCGACTGGCTAAAATCATATTTTCAATGTAACCTTTTATATAAGGTTAAAACGAGATCATAGTTCATATTTAGATTAGTGGTGTTGCGTGGGATAGGAAAATATGCGTATATACATAATAGTTCAGTAGATGCAGTTGTCAAATAACTAAGTAAAAACTTAATCAAACCCATTTATGCAGTCGGTACGCTTTATAATTTAATAGATTTTAATAATAATCATATTGTTGTACCGAGGCAGATGACATTGGCATTTTATTATATTTATAAACGCAGATTGAATAATTACAACTTAACTCTTATTACGAGTGAGCAACTTCCAGTCGTTTGAAAAGTTCAATCCGATTCGATTCGATATTTTAGCCTCGTTTACGTAAGTTTTTTAAAATTATAGTTTCAAAAAAGTTCATATTTTACGTGATATTATCATGATTTGTACACTTGGATCCAAGGAAATTGTTCATACAACACTATTCAGTTTTGAGAAACAATGAGTTGATAGCTCAGAAAATGTTTTCATGCGGCGGCAAATTATATAAAACTATAATGTTTGATTCCTTAAACCTTTTTATACTTCCTTCTCACTATCAGAACTGCATATTTTATGACCTTGTAGAGTCGGTGCTATTTATTTACGCGTAACTTTGATTTATACGACGATTTTCGAATATATTTATAAGCATCTATAATATGTAGATTAAATGCGTTATTAGATGTATATATTTCACTCGAGTGCATTAAAACAATAGCAAGTAAATCAAAATATATGTAAATGTTCTACCTGCCTTTATACTCGTGTGAATACAGGTTACATCTTTTTAAATTTGAATGAAACGCACTCGAAATGTATGTTTGAAATGAGCAATATGTGAATTCAGCTGTTTCAATTCTAATGCAATTCAAGTTTGTAATGTAAGTACAGTTATACAGAAAATAGCGTTTTAGATCAGAAATTAAATAAGTGAACTATGTATGAAGATATAAATTATAAAATAATTTAAATATAAAGAAAATCAAATTGAATATACCTTATACATCGTAGTTTTATAAAAAAAAAAACAAGCGTTTTCCTTTCTACGACCTCCTGGCAACAGTAAGATTAAATTATTACATTAATACATTATAATCATGATAATACATTCGTGAAGTTGGCCCACATAAGCATTGTATTTTTTTTTTATGTGTGCCATTATTTTGCAAGTTATTTGTTAGTATTTGATTGTCAATTTTTAGAATTTATATGTTCAAACTTTCACCGTGAAACCAAAAGATTAAAAATTGGGCTAACTTCATGTTGTCCATTCATTTTGACCTAGAATTATAAAATCAGTACCAAACGAATGCTATTGATTTGCGCAAATTTGCTAGTCTATTTTTAGAATTTACAAGGTATTGGGTTTGCTCCTGTAAGTTTTTGAAGTTGGTATAGCGTTATTTTACCTGAAACGTTGAAGGTGAGTAACAATGAAAACTAATGATTAACAAAAATTAGTAAGATAAATAGTTTTAAAAACTACAAGAAGTTTAAAAGAATTAAGAACAGATGATAATTTTAAAAAATATGGGATGAAGCCGCTATTGTTTTAGAAAATAATGGTTTTAGTGAGCCTAAAATACCACGAATAATATCTGTTCGGTTAGTCAGATTAGGTAATAGAAAAAATAAATAATACAGACTATTTAAGAACATTTTCGTATAAATGTATTTTTTTTAGTTATATATACAGTAATAAAGTGTATTTACACTAAATTCAAAGAAAATTATTAAAGTTTGTTGGATTCTATGAATGATGTCTAATTAATAACAGTTCTATATATCAGTTACTAGAGAAAACTTGTTATACATATATTCTTGCCTCTCAAACCATTTAAACGCCAAATGCAATGCATCAGAAGCTTCAGAATGAAATGGTCCATTTTCACCTTCAGTCAAATCGTCTCCTTCAGTTTTAACTTTTTCGAATAAACTACGAATTATTTCATCATCTGAAAGTATTTGATATCCAGGATCATTTGTATCCATAAGCAACCACTCATTTATATTTTCTTCATTACAATCCCCAAATACGTACACTTGGCACGTGCCGTTCTTTTTTTTTTTTATCGTCCAGTTAATTGGACGTCCGGTTGATTGATGTTCGGATAATTGGAGTTATACTGTAATATCAAATTATTTATCAAGACAGATTATAATTATGAATAGAATATTTATAAATCTCCAACGATATTCAATTATAAAAAAAGATAAATTATAGTAAATCTATAGATATTTAGAAAATATTTCCATGTTATTCAAATATATTTAAGATTTGTTTAACCATTCTAACAAATACTGCATTTAATAAATGTTCTCAGATCTATGGTGATTTAAAACATACTTAAGAATCACAATACGCCAAGAACGATTGAATAGTTTAGCAGTATTACGAGTATATATAAAAAAAAAATATCATTTAAAATATAATTGATAAATTGATAATAAAGCTTCAATAAAAGATCGCCATTCGACACTAAAGTAGTAATTACATTGTATAGACATTCAGTTTTTTTTTATAAATAGAAATGTTAAAAAAAAATGTACCTTACATATTAATAACTATTATAATGTACCATAGTTGAAATACCGATCAACAGTTATAAATTAAGATGTTTTTTTTTTAAATAGATACTTTTGCTCTAGTATTTGTTGAATATCAGAAAGAGTGGGGGAAAATATTTACTATATTCATTAACTTTTGTTGATACCAAATTCACACTTTCAGGTCAAAGATCACAATTTCAAAAGTTATTGACCAACTGAATGATTTGCAAATTCTATAAATTGACTTGAGAATTCTTAATAATCAAATGCATTCATTTGGTACTGATTTCAAAGTTCTAGATCAAAATGTGTGGGCTATGTGAATTTTGTTTAACTATTTAATTTGGTTCCTTGGTGAAAGTTTGAACTTGTAAATTCTAAAAAATTTACTTGCAAATATTTGCAAATAACATGCAAAATAATGGCATAGATTTAGAAAAAAAAATTGTAACATTTAAGTGAATCAAATTTACGAACATATCGATACTGTATTATTTTATCATGGTAATAAAATACGTCACTAAATAATTATTTTAAATTACTATTAAGGTCGATATTCATTTCTCAACGTATTATTGTTTATTTTATTTCGTCATGATTAATAATTTCAAAAGCTCGAAAATGTGTATTTCAATAAGTTATGATAATCTCATTTCACTGTATTATTACATAAAGAATCCCCTCGGAAATTAGAAGAAACTGAAGTTTCATAATCTGATGTACATACCTAACCCCTCTATAGGAACGGAAAACTTGATGTGTGTGCGTATAAAACCATGTGTTATACATTTGATAAATATAAAATGCCATACTGTCATAAATAAAATGAACGCGCCATAATGTTCAGATCTGATATCCACGCGCATACAGTGTTATTAGTAAAACTGAAAACAAAACAGACAAAAGGCTTGTTTAATTATATATAGAACTGCGCTGGAATAAATGCACGAGAGACAATGTCTCGTGAAATAGCTTTGTGCCGTTTTGAATTCCTAGCAATTTCAGTATTTTTCTTCTTTTATTTTTCTTTTTTTTTTTTTCACGTGGTTTGATATAAAAACGAAAAAATATTAATGGCTAAAGTAAAACTTAACGTTGAAAACATTAGTGTTTGATGCCTATGATTTTTTGGTATATTTCAGTGCTTCTCAACCTTTTTCAAACTACCGCCTCCCTAAGAAGCAAAATTTTTTTTCAACACCCCCATCCTTCACTTCATTAAAATAAAAACTAAAATATAATAAATGAAATATTTATAATTGAATAATAAATAATATAGATATAAATGTAAATATAATAAAAATAAAATGTAAAATGTATGTTTAAATATAATTTAATTGTTTTGAAATGTATCGATTAGTGAAATGCATTCAAAGCCAATTTTTTTTATGTTTGGTTCAAAATTTTTTAGATGAAGCTGTAAGTCTCCTTTTTTGACGATGTCTAGCCAATTTCTTTTTTTTGTTGTTAGATAATAACGCACTGCCTCTGATATATGTAGTTTATATTTCATAATCATGAACTTATTTTAGAAATCAATAAAAGGAAAACAATTACAGATAAATCTTGGTATGTTGCATTGAATGAAAAAAAGTTCACCGCTTTCCTATCGCCCGAAACGAGCTCACCGTCACTTGGTTCTCCTTCACCGCCCATCGGGGGACGATATCGAGAAGCACTGGTCTATTTAATTAAAATATCTGAATCGTCAAACATGTTTTAGCGAATAATCGTGCGAAAAAAAACGAATACTCTTAATAACTATTTTAAAATATGCGCAATATAATATTTTTTAAGCGTATAACGTATAAAATTAAATTTTGCATAATTAATATTATTGTTTGTGGTTCCGGCTTATCAAAATTTCGTTGAACGTTATATTTACATCAGATAACCACTGAGCTGCTGCAGTATTTGATCTGCGCTCAAAGTTAAATAAGAGTAATGACTTTGACTTAAAATACTTATAAATATTTGAATATTCAGGAATATTCCGGTTACAATCGTTGTTTGCCGATGTTTTCGAACGGAACTCATTATAAATCGTTCTTCTGTCGCTGTGTAATGATCAATAATGACGAACTCTAATATTTTTCGCCAAAAAAATGAAAAAAAAAAAAAAAAACAAAAAATCGAAAAGATTCGTTTCAAAAACCGTCGTGGTTTCCAATCGACCGTAGAGTAATCTTGCGGCATAATCACTGTCATATTATTTTTACCGACTTCGGAACATTACGACTGCCCATTGTGTACTGATGATCGTTTACGAATCTCACAGCGTCCCCCAATGCCTAAAATTCGCGTGTTTTACTTCTACATATCTGATTCCACGCACCAAAATATTTCATTCGGACGTCGGGACGCTACAGCTATCCAAAAACTTGCTGCGACCAAAACATTTATAGTCGGTTTTACATTCAGTGTTGACGTAAAGGATTTTAAGTGAACACGTGCTGATTTTTTAAAATCGACCGAGTTTTTTTTTTTTTGTTTATCAATCCGAAGATTGTTTTTTAAGAAATTTTTCACTGTAAATGTCTTCTTTATTATTCTCTATTGACCGAATAAAAGTTTATAAAAGCTGAGAAAAAGCGGTGCGCAACAACACGAACAGTGCTACTGCACACGGCCTTGGGCCTTAGTCCCCTCTACCCCGTTCAAATGGTAACTATCGAAATTGAAAACCATTATCGCTTGCCGTTCCAGGTAAATAAGGTGTACGTGATCGTGTCCTCTTCGATATCGTTTTGGATACCGTGCACGATTATGCTGTTCACGTACCACGCGATATTCAAAGAGGCGAACCGGCAGGAGAAGCAGATCCATGCGAGGATTAGTTGCGGTCATCAGATAAACTACAACCGGGAGATGGCGGAGAACCAGCTGCGGTCGAACGGCGCGGCCAACGGTTCGTCGTCCAGGACCACGCTGGCGCCCAACGATCACCATTCGACGCCATCCCGGGACAACAGGAATATCATCAAGATGAAGAGGGAGCACAAGGCAGCCAGGACATTGGGCATCATTATGGGCACGTTCATCGTTTGTTGGTTGCCTTTCTTCCTGTGGTAAGTACCAGTTGCTCGTTATTTCACGTGAATTCATAACATCGTTCACGTGTAATCGTCACTTATTACTGTACTCTATGCCCAACGGACGTTAATCATTCAAAATAAAAATAAAAAACAAATAAAAATTACATTCTAACGTACACCGGTGAATTTGTAAATTTCAAATATTATGATGCGATGTAATATATATATGTGCATTATATATGAAATACCGATTTGTTATTGTAAGACTCATATTTTTTTTATTATGATACAAAAAGTAAATAATGTACGATTAAAATGATTAATATTAGATACTAATAAATTCACGTATATTGATTGTACGTGATGTGTTTTGTTACATTCGCGTGTTCACGATATCCGTGAACATGTGTATTTGTATTGACGTAAAAAAGTAAGGCTCCTAGTAAGCACCTGTCTAGTATGCCTGATACCGTTCGTATAATACAGTCCGAACAACTCACGACCAACATTTTGGTCTGGTTGCCATCGATTTTCTCCGGGTTATTCTTATGTGCCCATAAAAACTTTGAACATTTTCAGCGATGAATCTTAGCCCGAAACATTATTCCTTGGGAGAGTTTTTCATGCTCAGCTTTTCGTGCATTTAACCGTTAACCACTTTCCTTCTTCCTCCTTCCCGGTGTGATGAATCTCCTGTTAGCCAAATAATATAGGTACTGTTATACAAACCGTTGTTATTAACATACCGTTTGTGGTTTTCCAATAAAGCCCTTAAAATAATAAAATAACAAGCCATTCGCTATAACTGTTCGAAACCTCCGATACCTTGCCCACTGACCCGTATATCATCATCAGGTATACAACTTATCTTTTCTTTTCCATATCACTGTTGTTATATCGTTATACTGTTATTGTTATCGTTATGATTCACAAGTAATATAATATAGTATCATGAACATTATTAGGTTTTATCCACCCACTCTTTATCGTTTAACGACGATTTTATTTGACGACCCTTTGTCTGTCAACGATATTAAAGACAATTCCGAGCGATGAAAATGTCTATATTAAACGAAATAAAATTAAAATTCAGGAACGTTTACTCTAACAAAATAATTATGTTTTGCAAAATATTTATGAATGCGACATTAAAAACTACTAAGTAAGGTTTTTAGTTATTTGAATTATTAATTTATATTTTGATTGAGCACAATTTGCTTCTTTTTATATGTAAATACATTTTATTTATACTTTTGTTTTAAAATTTCCTCAGTTCCACAAATGTATAATTTTGGCTAGTACAGTTAAAATCCAATTATGAATATTCATGAACATGTTTTTCTTTTCGGGTTATCCGACATTTTAATAAAGATGCGATCTCAAAGAAAATTATTTTGTTATCTATAGAATACACTAATCTGAAAAAATTAATTATAACTTTATTTTGTTTTTATTATTTGTAGCATTTATATCATTAGTTCAAAATAATAATAAAAAATTCTATATTCCAATGTTAAAAAAAATGCAAATGGTATATCATATATTATACGTAAGAAGACCAACTGGTACTCAGTTATTATTGTTATATGTAAATATGTATATAATTTTTGTAATTATTCTTTTATTCCAAAATACTATTGTATTAACGTTTAATATTTCGGTTAATTATCGGTTGTCTAATAATTAAAAAACTATTTGGATGAATGTTTTCTTATTAAAGAAATATGCAATTTTCATTAAATTTGTTGATTCTAGTCAAAAGATGAATTACATTACTTTTATATTTTAAAGTCAAAGAGTAGATTTCTCTCATAAAAATATTTATGTTATCATATGTTATAATGAAATTAGTTTTTCAACGATAAATAATATACTATAAATGTTAACTTACAGAATGGTGTTTTATTATTTTACGTTTTTATTTTTTATGTTTTTTATTTTAATATTTAATTTTAAAACAGGATTTTTGTTAAGTAATCTAGACATTTGGCAAATACGGATTTTAAATAGATTTATTAATATTTATAATATTATGATGTATATTTCAATTCTGAATCGCAAATAAGCAGAAATTCTTACTATCCTGTGTACAATTTTATACCTGTATTATAATAAAGTAAATGTAATTCATTATGTTGAAATATTTATTTTATTTGTTCCATATTTGCATTTTTTTTCTTTTTTTTTTCCTAGCACTTTGATTATGAGCAATATAGCTCCAATTTTTTTGTCCGTTAACATTTATATTACGTATACAAAATGAAAACAAAACAATTCTTCCACAAAGACCATTGAATCTTCAACGGTTTACTCTGTTCTCGTATTTATTATTTGTCCATTCGATTATGTACGAAATGTACGTTTGAAACGCTTTTAAGCATACGCATATTTTTTTTTATATATATATCTTCCCGATGAATTCAAGAGAATATGTAAAAAAATCCATCTTTTTTTACAAACTGGATTTTTTTTTTTTTTATTCATTGTCGAATATACACTTTATTACTGTTTTGTATTTTATATTTTATTTCATATTTCTAAGACAATTTAACTCAAGATTCACGTTGAATTAATTAACTGTGTACGAGATAAATAAATAATAACACATCGTTGTTTTTCGGAGCAATATAATTATAATTATTCAGATTAAGTCTAGTAACGTATATATCTTAACTTACAATGCAAAATGTACACGTGGGTGTATATTATAATTAACTGGAGGCAGACAACTTTTCTAGTAAATTAATCATTCAAAAACAAAAAATTATTTTAAGACACCAAAAAATCTATCACGCAAAACATATCCGAACAGATCGTGTTATACAATGGATAATTTAATGAGATTCGATAAATTAAATATGAAATGGTAAACAGTTACCTTCTATGAAACATTATAAAATCTAATGAAATAGTTTTATATAAGGAGTAATCGTATCTTCTGCATTGTTAAGATTAGACGAGGAGTTAGATTTGCTACGTTTACCGCAAATTTCTATAATTAAGTTGTGTGAAATTTGATTCGGGGTCCATTTTAGTTAAAAGTTCATTTTGAGATTAACATGAATAAAGAACAATATACAAATCGTGTCTTGATTTAATTTTAATTAACAATTTTAACAATTTAAATTAGTTTTTGATATTAACAAATCGGAATAGTTAAACTTAATAGTTACTTTATACATATTTAATTTTACCCACTGCAGTACCACCATATGTTGTGTCTAAACGATTATAATGGTATTATATTGTACCCACTGCATCTAAAACGAGAGGATATTATAATATTTTCTTGCGTATGTATTAAACTTCACAATTTTCATTGCTTTATTCTTGGTAGTAAAAATAGTAAAAATAAAAAAAAAATAACGAACAATAATAAGAAAGTGTATATTTTGGTTTGACGTGTCTTGTCATGTTGTTCTCGATATGGTGTTACAGACTTTTGCGATGTGTCCTCTAAACGATTTTAATAATTGTTATTGTTTTTATTTTATCTTGTATTTTTTTATTTATTATTATTATTGAAACATCTAAAACATTTTGTTTTACAAAAGAAATGTCAAGGGTTTCCCTGAATTAGTCTGTCAACTGTAACAAAAGCGAGACTTTTGCTTCTCATTATAACAACTGTTTAAGACTTTCTCAAATGTTATTTTTAAAATATTTAAATTTATCCATGAAACCCAAGGTTTAATCCATAGGTAAATACAGTTATTTTAAACTCACAATGATCATTATTTTTTTTATACTATGTTAGGCTACGGAAATTTTTTTATTTTATTTTCCAGATGGATTTCACTAGACGCACTGGGTTTAAAAAAAAGTATTTATCTTACTATTTTTGAGTTTTCAAGATTTTATATTAACATTTTTAAATATTAGCCAATTGAACTAAAAAACCGCATTATTTAAATAAAACAAAACTTAGTGGTATAGTGGTTCCTCAACGATCTATTCGTATTTTCGTATGGTTCATTTCTTTTAATAACTTTTGATTAAAAAATAAATGGATGGGATCAACTAATAAAAAAGTGTACGAATCAATATCCACACTATACGCGGATGAATTAATATACAAATATGTCTTATACACAACATAAATAAGAAAAATTAATATAGAAATATTATGAATACGTTTAAATATGCATCGTTATTAGTTAAACCGTTCATATAATATAAAGTTATTTTATAGTATATTGTTTATATGATATCAATTGTTTCGCTAACAACTATTTGGGTGACAACGATGAGTATGACATCCTGCGTGATAATTCGAATAACAATTTAGCAAAACTCTTGGCAATAAGACATATTTGTTTCATTTATATTTTAAACGTTGAATACCATTAGGATAAAATGAGATGCATCGTAAAATATAATGTCGAAAAGAATAAATTCGTCCCAATAACTACCATTATAATATAATAAAATAATGAAATGTTAGAAACACGAAAAAAAAATATAAATAATCCAATAATATCTTATAATTACATCTTAAGGGAAACAATACATTTATTTTATTTATTGTACATATAAACTGACGGTATATAACAATTATGTTAAAACATTGTAAGATTTTATATTTTATTTTGGGTTTAAAAACATTTGATTTTAACGAGTTGTGAATTCACTTTTAAATTATTCACAGTTTCCCGTTATACGATCAATATTATTACTACACTTTTGTGAATCATGTTTAATCTAATACTTAGATAAATTAAAATAAAATAAATTTCAATCTTCAAGTATGGCCGTATGAAAAAAAAATTAAATTAAAAAAATTAATTAAAAATTAAATTTTTAATATAAATATGTTAGTATATACTTTTATGTTAGTTAAATGATGGGACTTTTATTCGTTTAGTTATTTTCATTTATATAATTATGAGAAAGAATATTTTTTTTATTTTTAAAAGGTACAAAGATATAACGGTATAGATTTTCATGATATTTTGTCAAACTTAAAACAAATATATGTCCTTACTCCCACATACTAATATACACCTTGATCGTTGAATAATTAGAAAAAAAAA